CGCGTAATATTTGGTTCTTAAGAGCGATTGTAATTAGGAATGTCAAAAAAATCCGACCCGCAATGACCCGCCCTGGCCCGAGACATGTGGGGCGGGTCCGCCCCGCCCCGTTTTGCAAATGGGACGGGTCCGCCCCGCCCCGCCTATACAATGGAACGGGTCCGCCCTGCCCCGCCTATACAATGGGACGGGTCCAGGTATTAGAATTGACTCGTGCCTCCCCGACCCGCCCCGACTCGCTCAATATATAAGTATACATACTTTTCTTTAAATTATACTACAAATATACTTCAACATACATATGTGTGTATACAATAAATCATAAATTCTTTGATCTTATATTATATGAATATATATTAGAATGAGATGCACGACGGATTATCAATGTCTTCTTTATATATAGAATTTTAATACATATATTCAATTATTAATATAACTAATTAGATTAACTATTCAAGTTTGAGTAATTTTTCCTTAATTTTTGAAATTTTTAGCGTATCATGAATTTGATTTAATATATTGATTTTTAATTATTATTATTTAGAGATAAATATTATTTAGATTCAATTGATAACAACTTCGCACAAATAAAAATACATACTAGCTAATTAGGTTGCGGCGGGGCGGGGCGGGGCGGACACGCCCCGCCCCGCATGGGGCGGGTCATGGGTCAACAAGTTCGGACCCGTGCAGGTCACGGGGCGGGGCGGACCCGCCCCGCCAAGTCACGGGGCGGGTCCGGGTCTTGCAATATACCCGCCCCGCCCCGACCCATTGCCATGCCTAATTGTAATTAAATATAGTTGTACACTACTACGTATGTTGGTTGTTTGGTTATACGAAAAATTTGCGAGGTTTCCATTGCGAGCGGTGTTAGAAAACGAGGTCTCCGGCGAGTAAACGGTATTAACAATAATTGCAAACGAATTTGAAATATATGCACAATAAATTATAACTTCACTAACATTTGAAGTTAAATACTCCGTATATTTTTAATTAACAACTCCACTACATTATTTAGCATTAAAAAAGATACATGAATTCAATGACATTGTATAAAACAGTCATTGTAATATTATCTGGGGGAAAAATGACATAAGATAACATCATTCAATCTTTAAAAAGACATTGTATTATACTTTGAATGAATTTAAACTGATATGAATCGAATGGAACTGTTCTTGCATGTATAAAACATTGTGTCACGGATTTGTCTCATATTATTCCTTGATAACCACTATTGGGGTGACAATTATTGAGATTTGTCATGAACTTTGTCACGGAAATCTCTGTAACAAATAAAGCAAAAAAATTAATAGCTTTATCACGGATTCGGTCCATGACAAATTAAAGCGCCGTACAAGAAAAATTGGTCGGCATATGTTTTCAGTCATTGGAGCTAGTTTGTCACGAACGGGATCACACAAATATTCTGTGACAAAATTTTGTCATGAATTTGGTATGTGACAAAGGTTTTTTGTGACCTGGAAGATGAATCTGTGACAAAATTCGTGAGAAACATGTCATGGACCAAATCCGTGACAAAAGTCCGTGATAAAAATGCTTTTTTTGTAGTATAAATATATGAGAGCATTCCCAACACTAGAACTTCTAGTCCAAATTAAATGTGCTTAATGTCAAACAAGCAAGACTTTTTTTTATCCAAATGCTACGTAGAAGAGTGAGTCGACATTGAAACATAAAAAACACCATTGCATATAGTCTCTCGGTGCAGCTTAAATGTTCAAGTGGAGTTATTGTTTTAATCAAAATAATACACAGTAATATTTGAAAGTCGTGTATGTACTATTCATGTCAAAGTGAATCCACTTTCATATGTTGGAGATATTATACGTTGTAACCTGCAAAACAATGTTGGAAAAATAAAACAGCTCGAGACGCGTTAGACACTGTCCTAAAGAAAGTATTTCTGGTGGCCGGAAATCTCCCCCCAAGATATAACGAGCTCTTCGGCGAGTTGCCGGACACAGAACTACGAGGATAGAAAATCATTTTGTAATCCAGCAGAGCTTAAAGATAATACGGAGTAATATATGAGATTGTTTATATACTTCGTATTACTACTTAGAAGAACATTTTGATGAAGGAAGGTTTATAGGAGATAACAAATTTTGTAGAAACTTTGTTTATCTTTCGTATCTGGAAGGAAGAAAGCTCAAGTCTAATCATTTTGAAGATCACTCGCTGCCCATATTATATGAAGTATAACGAAAATTAATCACTTGGAGTTTGTTGTGGATCCATATTTGTAGGAGTGAAAAATGCTCAACCAAATAAACTTGGTCAGCCAACAACACGTTAATAAGCAGTTCCGTAAAACACAAACCCACTCACCCATACAAAATATATCCATTCGGTCATTTTGCTAAAAATAGAAACTAACTAAAATCAAAATTAGTTTGTTTATTTGAAATACTAAATAATTTTCCAACAATCCCCCACATATTTCAAATAAACAATTGAGATTAAAAAATAATTTTGAAAATCTGCTGGATAAACGGGAACGAGACTTTAAATCTGGTGTCCGAAGACTATGAACCAAACCGAGACGATTAAGTCTTTACAAACCGAGCTTCTGGTGAAACATATAGTTTCTATGAACCAGTAAGCTACTATGGTAAGTCAGGGTCTTAATGGCCATGTCTCACCCCCCACAATTCCTCGCGTTAACGCCGTGGTGCGCCTTTAGGCCGTGCGCGTGCTTGGTATTCTTGAGTGCTCTAGTATAGAAGTGTTGTCATGCTTCATGGAGGCGGCCGCACCTCACACTCATATAGGTGACCTCATCAAGTGTGTTCTGCACTTAACACACCAGCCATAAGGCTATGAAAATTATTAAGAGCTTTAGCTCAGTCTCACAGCGAATGTAGTTTAGCCTCACCCTAGAAATGGACATAATAGGCTAGCAGGAACAAATAGAAGACTTGTTATTACCCATATGAACCTGCTTCATGGGATCTCCAATCACACAGGTTGGGTTACCATCCCTATTTGTTATCAAGTGACAGTCCATTTCCCTCGGTGTATAAAATATAATATCCTAGGATTTCGGCCAAAGGAGACTATTAACTCCACTCGTCATAATTATATGACAACTTTATATTTCACATATATATTTCATATGGTATTGTTGTAGACGTCTTTACAACAATATCATCTGAAAATTATATCATCATTGTATCACTATAATACAATGGCTTAGCTCATCAAATACACCTTTTGTGTTTCCACAATTTGCTCTATCTTCCAACGTTAAGCCGGGTTTCACATAATTAATGGAGATAATTCCATTCTTCGAAATCATGAGACAGTTTTATTTATGAAACATCATTGCACCACTTTTAAGGGTGAATGAATATCCATTATTGTGTTTTACCTCATGTGATTGTATCCTGATAATAAAAAAGATAACTCTTAATAAAATATATAACCATTGTATCATTATAATACAATGGATAACTCTCATATAACATCATTGTACTGGTATATTACAATGGCTATTTTTCAATAAACATATCATCGTTGTATCAATTTATTACAACGGATAATACCAATCAAATTTATGTCATAATTAATGGTATCTCATTTACATTAGAATGAGTTAAAAATAACCCCCACATTTTAAATATATACTATTAGCCAATTAGGTACAAAGACCATTACTAAACAACGGTAAGACAATCAACTAATTAATCATCACAATCATTTCATGATTTTCCAAACGGGAGAACGGTCATGTGAGTTCGTATAATTCACTCAACACTTTAAATAATACGGAGTATATCCCAGTAAATATGTATGCACACGTAAATACGGAGTATAAACAAGCTCAGCTGCTCAGGTAATTTAATCTACCATATATACTAGTACGTACTATTCCAAGCAAAACCCGTAACCAGGGTTAACAAGCTTTTGAGAAAAAAACTAACATGGGGATAGCAATTATGCCATTTAAAACTTCATAACGTCACTCGCATAGGGAATTAAAATTGCTCCTATAAGATATGCCATCCAGCTCAACACATCATAACATACTTAGCAGGAACCATACATACATGCAATAATGTCTAAACATTACGTAAATACAATTTTCAACAAAAGTCCAGAATTGTTAAACCCATTTATGAGAACACGGAATACATAATTCAAATAGCATAGGATGCTCATTTGTGTAGGATGCATGCGAGTTAAACTCAAGCAGAGTACAATTTATGATTTTCAAAAATCACGTTTGAACACAATCAAAAATGAAACTACACCGGTGAAAAATAATAGTAAAGAAAAAAACTACTACACCCTAAGAATAATTAAGATAGGAAAAATAGCAATCCTATCCTATCCTATATACCGAAAGGGAAAATCCTCTTCCCTTAGAAGTTCCCGCCTCTCTCACTTAACCTATTTAATCGTTCTTCTCTCCTAGAAATATAGGGGGTGTTTGGAACTGATTCTGCTTCTGCTTCTTTTTTTAAGTGAGAATCAGAATCAGAATTTTCTGCTGTCTGAAAAAGTGATTCTGTCTGGAGTGTTTGGTATTGATTCTGCTGTATGTAACAGAGAATCAGTTTAGAGTGTTTGGATAACTTGCTTTCAAAAACCGATTTTGGTGTAAATTTACCAAAAGGGCATATAGTAGGCATTCCTTGTAATATAAAATAATATTGTTATTTACATAGGCTAAGATAGAGATATATGAATAATAACATTTACTTATATAATGTAATCCAAATATAACTAATTATAACTTAAAAAATTACTTGTACTAAAAAAATACAATATCTAACTTAAATAAACAGTTTCTTAAATGCAAAAAAACGTAAATGACTTCACAATAGAACCGTAAATGGTGAAAATAACAACCATATAGAATTAACAAAGACAAAATAATGGAATAATGGTGAAAATAACAACCATATAGAATTAACAAAGACAAAATAATGGAATAAAGATACTCAGTATTACTCCGTAATTAATATACATGAGATTAAAAAAAATCCACAACTCCACAATAGAAGAGCTAACTGGATCGTGGTTCACCTGGGCTGGGCGGTGGAACGGAGCAGAGAAGAGCCAACTGGAAATCGCAGTTTGCTTAGGTAGGAGGAGAAGAAGCTCTTGCGGCACAGGTAGGAGAAGCTCTAGCAGGTGGGACGATGCGAAGAAGAGGAATAAAATTGAGCGAGGGTTTTTAGGAATAAAATTGGAAGAAGCAGAATCAGTTTGGAAGAAGCTGCTACTACCCAGCTTCTACAAAACTGATTTTTCAGCCTTTTAAAATCACTTTTAAAATCAGATCCAAACACTTACAAAATTGATTCTGCTTCATAGTGCTGCTTGGAACAGCAGAATCAGATTGTAGAAGCGGTTCCAAACACCCCCATAATCACTAATTCCTCGCACGTTTCACGGTCACCGGAAGCAATCCAATCCCTAATTCCTCGCTTATTCACTCCTTTCACACTAGAAGTAAACTGAACTGAGCGTGAATCTCCATTCCCCCCTGATAATCAGCATCAAAATCTTCGATGTGCTTCTGAAAAGAAGCGAAACGGCTGCAAATCCGCACTTGGGAAGGTAATCAACGATACAATGCTTCAATTCCTCATCTTCTCTACTCCGAATTACTATATACGAGTTCAATGTTCTTCTATTTAAACGCACATTCCTGGCTCTTTTTTCACACACCACACAATCGATACTTCTTCCATAGTATTCATACTAAAAGCATGGCTCCTCTAAAATTGAATTTGTCGTCCGTCAAACTTGATATGGAGAAGAAAGCTGTTTTTTTCTGTAGGCTTGCACGAAAATGGTCTCTGCCATTCCAGAACAGGGAGTTGGGCATCAGATCGATTGAATTTGTTCTAATAGACGAGGAGGTAATGCTTATTCACATATAATATGGCCTCTAAATGTTTCTCTAATCGTAATTTTAAGGGGGGTTTAAGGCATCCCCTTCTAAAAGAATGTTTATAGGTTCGTTAATGTGAATCAACGAATGAGTAGTTTAAACTAATTATTATAAACACGATTTCCTGATTTATGCCCTTTGCGCTATTGTTCTCCCAACACATGAGTACTTGATCAACAAACCAACATAATCATGTTTACAACACAATGGGATGAATGAAATATAAGATTGGAGGTGCTGTTATTTTTAATCAAACTCCTAATGCTGAGGCTGAATGATACTCCATAGGAAGTTAGAGTGAATATCAGCTTAATTGGCATATGGACAGATTATTATAGCCCTAAAGTCAAATCAATATACACTTTAGTGGCTGATTTGTTTTTAAGTTATTTTTAAAAAAAATATTGTTTCATATTGCTAAACCAATCATTTATAGGTTTAATGAGTATATGAACAGATCATTATAGCTATACAGTGAGATCAGTATATACTTTCGTGGCTAATTTGTTTTTAAGTAATTTTTAAAAGAAAAATTGTCTGCTTATTTCTAAACCAAACATTTATAGGTTTAATGAGCATATGGACATATTATTATAGCTATAAAGTGAAATCAATATATACTAAAGTCGCTCATTTGTTCATGAGATGTTTTTAAAAAAAATATTGTTTGCTTATTGCTACACCAAATATTTATAGGGTACAAGAATTCAAGCTACTGTGCCACAAGAGTACATTCCACTGTTTGAAGACCATATTGAAGAGGGGAGACTTTATGCCTTTATGCACTTCACTCTGAGAGAGAATGTTGTGGAGGCCAACACAACATCCATATCGGTTTTATTTTAATCAAAGGACTAAGTTTATGCCCCAGCCAAATGGTACACACCCATTGTTTCCTCTCACTACTTATAAATTCACCAGCTTTGAGGATGTTATGAATTCTCCAGATATTGACGGTCCTGATCTAATCGGTAAGTATACATCTTTTGTATATCTGAAATGCATCATTCATTCAACTTTAATACTTTGAAGTCACATTTATAATTCATTGTGTGAAGACATAATTGGGGTATACAATCCATCCGAGCTCGTGAAGAAGCCCCCTGCATCCGAAGACCCTTCAACCTGGTGCAGCTTTCAACTTCATGATTTACAGTTAAGCAAATACAACCACAAATTCCAATTTATTCAGTGTATAACCACTTTTAATATTGAAATACTAAATCTGGAATGTTGTTGTGTTAGGAATAAGGTTCTTAATTGCACTCTCTGGAATGAGTATGTTGACCAACTTGATACATATCTATTGGCCCCAAGACAGAATCCCATAGTTGTCTTACTGCAGCTTTGTCGTATAAATAAACGATGGGGTATGTTGCTTCTCCTTTGCACTTTTATATAATGTCAAAGGACATGCTTCATTTGTATACTGAGTACATTTCGTTGCTTCTTTACTTTTTAGATGGCACTAAGGGAGTAGCCACCTCTTTTTATGTTTCAAAGTTAATATTGGATGAACATATCACTGAGATTGAGGATTTCCGAAGCAGGTAAATAGTTTCTTGAAATGCTAAATATCATGTCTACTCATTTTTTTTGGGGAGCTAACATACTTAAATCATTGTAGTTTTCTAAGCACCAAAGGCTCTTTCCCATCGCCTTTAACGCAATCATCATCATCCTCAGTTCTCTCTGCCGATGTTGCTGCTGAAATTGGTCTTACCATACCACTCTCTGAGTTGTCATCGGCTAAAGAGGTAATTTATTACCAACTTTAGTACTAATTTATGGAGACATTCTTTTCCAGGTCCTATTGTTATTGTCTATTCTGCTTTCTATAGTGAGTATTTTTTTGGTTTTATGCAAGGTTCATGGTTGTTGGGTATATGGCCAAATAAGTTCCATTATTTCTTGGAAAACATGGGCTTATTTGGGGTGTGATGAACCTAGATGTTTCAAGAAAGTCATCAAAGACAATGGTAAACTTCGTTGTGTAAACTGTCACAAACAAATCTGTAAAGGTATTTGGCGATATAACTTAAGGTTGAGAGTCAACCATAATTGTGACAACGTTGAATTCATGTTCTGGGATTTGGAGGCACAACGACTCTTAGGAAAGGCCAGCAATTCAACATCCACCTAGATGCGGTATGCTTCTTCATGCATGTTACTTTAGTCCATATTCTTTCCACCTATCTTCACACATCACACTCTCATCCCAGCACATTCAGGACACACATTTTGTCCAAAGCAAACATATTGATTTCCCTTTTAGGCTATTTAGAAAGATATTACATAGAGGGGATTGTGTTTCCATAATGTTTTAATTACAAATGCTTAAACATACATTCAGATACTTTGCTGCAACCCCAGGTCTCCATATGAATATATTTTCACTCTTCACTTAAAAAACAAAAGATTATGAAAAACGCACCTTTTGTTTGTGCAGTCTAAGATCTTTACTTTTTTCCTTGACTTTGGCCTTTAAAGTCATATGGACTTTAGACCTTAATAGTATACACAAGCATATCACCAACACTAGCAAAAAAATCTAAATGGATTCTGTGTGGCATTCTCAGGCAGGTTTACTGTGCAAAAAATCTAAATGGATTATTTGGTTGTACTTTATTTAGGAAAAGCTAGCACCAAAGAGCCTTCCTGAAGAGATAAAAGAACTAGTTGGAAAGGAATTAATATTCAAAATAGACAAGGTACATGAAAATCGCACAAGTGGCGGTGTGTATTACTCTATTGGCATGATCTCAGAGGATAGAGAGAAAATAGGGCATGTGAAAGCTGCAGTTGTATTGCAATCCGAGGTATTCCCATAACTTCAAGCAGAGTGATTGTATTCACTATTTTTATGCATTATGTGTCAGTAATGCATTTCTAACTACCGACTAATGCAACAATATACAAGCCTATAATTCTGATGATGATCTAGAGCTGCTTTCCTACTCCACAATAGGGGTGGAGTCAAGCATGGTATGTCCTGGTGTTTTAGAGACTCTATACAATTCCTACATATGTAATGATTTGTAAATGTACATGGACTGAATTTGAACCACTTTTAATTTTCAGACTCCAAGCTCCGTTGATAATGAAAATGTCCCAACTCCACACTCATCAATTTCAAAACGAGTTTCAGAAGGTGATCCTCTAGGATCTGAAACAGGATCCAGCCTAGGCTCAAGTGTCAAAAAACAGAAGTTCATCAAGCTAGAGATGGAATGAAGTTCAACCTTACTGATTTTATAATGACGTCTTTAAAGCATTCTGCACTCTTAAAAAATTAGGATTAAGTAGCATATATAGTTGGTCCATGACCATCTCTTCATGATGTTTTTTTTAAGTATCTCTTCATGATGTTTTTCATGAACGTGCTCTTTTAATATTAGTCCTAATAAATTTGGATTTCTAGCATATATACTTGATCCTTTGAATGATTCTCTATTTTTCTTTGGAAATAGGTCCTATTGTTAAAATTATTAAACGGTATTGCCTATTCACATAACGATTTGCCACTACCTCATTACATGAAACACAGGAGTTCACCACATAGTGGTAAAGCGAGAGTATGGGAAACAATGTGTACACTTTTTATGACCCATTGATTTTATCGCAATCCCAATCAAATTTATTTTAAACTTTAATTACATGTCTAATCCTTAATCATAAATTCGAACATAACCTTTAAACAAATTTTTAAAAAAAGTAACACTTACTTTTATGTGATTAAAATATATTCATCATTTGAATCACATGTTAGGTCAACAAAGTGATTAGTTATCGTAATTTGTACGGAGTAATACTTTTTCACCTTGAAGAAGCTTAAGGAAAATTCCCCAAATATTAATAAAACCGTGAGAAAATATCAAAATAATACTTTCATGTTTTATACCCAAAATATGAGCAACTAATGCCATGTTTAGAAAATCTTGTCGGGCATGTTTAAAATTTCATACTCCAAAAACATGGTAGTAATTACTCCTACTTCAGACAATAAAAATATGGAAGACCTATTTTGGAAAACATGGAAGTCCCAGACTTGAACAAACCATAAGAAATTAGACTTAAACACACCAAACCAAACGAGATCCATCCACCTGAATTCCTTAATGGAATACGCTGTTCTGGAGTTTCGGCCCATGAAATCAGGTTAAAGGTAGGTGTACCTGTCATGCTCATGAGGAATATTGATTTCTCTTCGGGGTTATGCAATGGCACTCGACTTATTGTGACCCGACTTGGAGATAATATTATTGAGGCTCAAATATTGACCGGGACAAATGCGGGCAAGAAGGTCTATATTCCAAGGCTGACACTTACACCATCTGATGTTAGATTGTCATTCATGTTTCAGCGTAGGCAATTACCATTGGTGGTTAGTTACGCGATGACGATCAACAAGAGTCAAGGTCAGTTGCTTGAAAGAGTAGGCATCTTCTTACGTCGTCCGGTCTTTACTCATGGTCAGTTGTATGTGGCGGTATCTAGGGTTACAAATCCATCGGGATTAAAATTCATGATATGTGATGATAAGGGCGAGCCTAGAAATTCTACACTTAATGTAGTGTATAAGGAAGTGTTCAATAATTTGTAAACGCTTTGTCGTATTCCATACCAGTGAATACAATATTAAAATTCATGTTTTATTATAACGTGTATGATCGATCTTTTTGCATTACATACACTCTCATAGTAAAACAAAAAATATGACTCATATATCATATAAATTTATAATACATACATAAATTAGAAATCAAAATTACTCAAATTTATGAGTAATTTGAATACAATATTAAAATTCATGTTTTATTATAACGTGTATGATCGATCTTTTTGCATTACATACACTCTCATAGTAAAACAAAAAATATGACTCATATATCATATAAATTTATAATACATGTACATAAATTAGAAATCAAAATTACTCAAATTTAAATACCCGTGCAACGCACGGGTGGAAAACTAGTTAGAAATTACAAATTTAAATACCCGTGCAACACATCATAACATACTTAGCAGGAACCATACATACATGCAATAATGTCTAAACATTACGTAAATACAATTTTCAACAAAAGTCCAGAATTGTTAAACCCATTTATGAGAACACGGAATACATAATTCAAATAGCATAGGATGCTCATTTGTGTAGGATGCATGCGAGTTAAACTCAAGCAGAGTACAATTTATGATTTTCAAAAATCACGTTTGAACACAATCAAAAATGAAACTACACCGGTGAAAAATAATAGTAAAGAAAAAAACTACTACACCCTAAGAATAATTAAGATAGGAAAAATAGCAATTAGAAATTAGTAACGTAACGCATGTAACTAAAAACTTTCCAACGCATGCATTAATCATACAAATCAATCAAATAATTGGAGCATTATCATGCAACAATTTAGAAACATTAATCACATAAGATCCACTCTTACAATAGCCTTTGCCGACAAAAAAATCATTTTTGATCACAACAATTTTGTCACAATCAAAAGGTACTTTAATCTCAAATTTTTCCGAGAGAAACGGAAAGCTAAATATTCCAAATCTGATCTCTGGCACATGAACCATGTCATTTAGTGATAAAGTTATCCGGATGTGAGTTTAAGAAATATTTTCTTTTACCATGCATCTTAGCGGTTTTCGAGTCCGCTAGGTACACAAGGTATTCGTCATCTCCTATAGTAGTATAGGAGGTTAAAGCACTTTTGTTTTGACAAATGTGCATGGTAGCCCCAGATTCTACCACTCATTCATTCACATTAGGGCTGAGCAAAACCCGATCCGACCCGAAAAACCCGATATTTTTTTCGGATATTATCCGAACCGAAGTGGATATCCGACCCGAAAAACCCGAAACCGAAAATCCGATTAGTATTGGACCTAGACCGGGTGGCGGGTAGGGTTTGTGAAATCCCAACCCGACCCGCCCGAATATCCGAAATATATGTTAGTGTGTACTTTGAATATTTAAATTAATACTTGTGTTCAATTATTTGTGTTATTATTTGTGCAATTTGTATTAAATTATTTGTGTAAATTGAATGTGTAGTGAACTAGTGTGTACAATTTTTGTTAAAGTGGCATTCCAACACTTTAACTATCCAATTATAATGTGTTTTGATATAACCAAAATATCCGAAATATATTAAATTATGTAGTGTGTACTTTGAATATGTTAAATTATTTGTGTAATTTGAAAGTTTAAAGCACTAGTGTGTACAATTTTTGTCAAAGTGGCATTTAAACACTTTAATTATCCAATTATAGTTTTTTTTAATATAACCGAAATATCCGAAACCCGACCCGATATCCGAAAATACCCGACTTAAAAATATCCGAAATACCCGATTTGTAATATCAAAGGGTCGGGCCTAGTATTTAAATTAAAAAACCCGAACGGGTTTAGGGTTTGCAAACCCGACCCGCCCGAACCCGACCCGTGCACACCCCTAATTCACATCGTTAATTTAACAACTTTGAGAAACAATCACAATAAAAATATCATCACATTTAAACAAGTACTTTGGACTTGATTTAAGTGGAATGTTGTTTTTCATAGTTGTCTTTTTATCACAAAAATGACCTAAAATAAAGGTGGGATTAAAATAAGGCTGATAATAAATACTCCGTACTCCGTATAAAAAGATTAAGAGACTTACTATTAATTAGTCGCGACTAATAGTTCGTTGCACACGAGCAGTGAACCAGATATACGTAGTATTACATTTGTGATGGCTCTGACAGCAATGGGGTGACTTGTACGAATTTGTGCAGTAACTAGGCATCCATTTTTTCCGGCGATAGACTTCTCCCTTTCTCTCCAGCAATTTGGGACCGCAGTTCCGATGATATACTTTCTTTAGATTGTTGGAGATATTATACGTCGTAACCTGCAAAACAATGTTAGAAAAATAAAACAGCTCGAGACGCGTTAGACGTTGTCCTAAAGAAAGTATTTCCTGTGGACGGAAATCTTCCCCCAAGATATAACGAGCTCTTCGGCGAGTTGCCGGACACAAAACTAGGAGGATAGAAAATCATTTTGTAATCCAGCAGAGCTTAAAGATAATACGGAGTAATATACGTAGTATGAGATTGTTTATATACTTCGTATTACTACTTAGAAGAACATTTTGATGAAGGAAGGTTTAATCATTTTGAAGATCACTCGCTGCCCATATTATATGAAGTATAACGAAAATTAATCACTTGGAGTTTGTTGTGGATCCATATTTGTAGGAGATATTACCCAAAATGGGACTAAAAAAGTTTGGAAATTCTAAAATAGGACTTCCATGTTTTTATTCCCAAAATAGGACTAATTACTGTCATGTTTTGGCAGTACCAGACTTCAAACATGGCAGTATTTTCCAAATTTGGCAGTAATTAGTCATATTTTGGGAATAAAAACATGACAGTCCTATTTTGGAATTTTCAAACTTTTTTAGTCCCATTTTGGGAACTTTCCCTATTTGTAGGAGTGAAAAATGCTCAACCAAATAAACTTGGTCAGCCAACAACACGTTAATAAGCAGTTCCGTAAAACACAAACACACTCACCCATACAAAATATATCCACTCGGTTATTTTGCTAAAAATAGAAACTAACTAAAATCAAAATTATTTTGTTTATTTGAAATACTAAATAATTTTCCAACATCATATACTTACATATACATCCATACCTACATACGATAGTATATACTACGTATTTTCTTTTGAAATATAGCAACATTTAGCAAACTGGAAGAATTCTTATTTAGAATTTGAAAGAATTATTACTTCTTTTTTTGAGTATTGGAGACTCTTTGGAAGAGAGACCTCGAGAAGTAAAGGTAGTGGCAAAGGATTGTGCAAATCCAGAGGTGAACTCAGGTAACTCAATAGCGATTGATAGTGAATGTGTCTTTGCCAATTCCCAAGCATAATTTCTCTTACTCGAGAGATGAATTTCAAGGTCATATTTTAGAGGGCGAGAAGAGGACTCCTATCTCATTGATTGAGGATTTATGGGACTCCGACTCAAATCAGGATATTTGCAACAAAGCTATGCTGGTCGCGAGACACAATTGCTTACCTACAGGGAATCCAAACACACAAATTAAAGTGCCCAAGAAAAAGCATCAATGGTCGCATCTCATGAGGACCAGGTCACAATCGCGAATGGAGTTCTACAAATTTGACTGACCTCCTAGGATTTCTAGGGAGGGATTTTTTTGTATCTAGGGTTGGTTAGTTTTATTCTTTTTTTTGTTTGCTTTTACTTTCCGTTCCTTGTTTTTCTTTTTCATCTTTGTGATGTACTTTCTGTTTTTTTTTTAAATAAAACTCTCCTTTAAAAAAATAGCAAACTCGGTTGCTCTTTCTGGATGGAAATATATGAACTCCAGGTAACGGAAAAGATCATGTCCAGCCGGATGGACATGATCCTCTTTGGCCGCCGTTATTTGGGTAGGTTCCCGGTGGAATTTTTTGATGAAAAT